TGGAGAAGACTCTTGAGAGTCCCTTGGACAGTAAGGAGATCAAACCAGTCAATTCTAAAGAAAATCAACCCTGAATATTCATTGGAAGGACTGTTGCTGAAGCTGAAACTCCAATACTTTGGCCACTTGATGTGAAGAACTGACTCTTTGGAAAAGACCCTGATGGTGGGAAAGATTGAAGGCAGGAGAAGGGGACGACAGAGGATGAGATGGTTGGATGGCATCACTGACTCGATGGACATGGGTTTAAGCAAGCTCTGGGAGTTGGTGATGGACAGGAAAGCCTGGAGTGCTGCAGTCCATGGGGTCGAAAAGAGTCAGACATGGCTGAGCAACTGAACTGAACCGAACTGAACATGTATTTTATTAACCATCCTTTATTCTGTTTTACATACGGTGTTGCTAAATTTCCCTATTCTTAATAATTCAGTGTTGACATTGTAAGCCTTTGGGATTTAATCTATTTTAGCTGTTACAGACACCCTATACATATCGTTAGTGGGACTTGCACACTAGCTGAAGCATCTAGAGTCTCATGCACTGCTTGAATTCTTACAAAATACATAAAGACATTGTATTTAATAACTTCAGAACAATTTGGGCTACAGGTAAAATTCAACTTGCACACTAGCAAGGAATTGTAAATTCCAAAACTCTGCTCACTCCCCTCCCCCACCCCATTTTAGGAAAATAAGGAAATAAGAATATTTTAAAATGCAGTTTTCTTAGAGGATGCTCAGAAATACACACCTTGAGTACCATCTTCTGACAAAAGCTACAAAATCAACCAGAGCTTGCACCACCTTCTAAATGCACATTTAGAAATAAATCACAATGGGTGACATTCTTTCAGTTTGTTTAGACCAGTGCTTCTGAACGGGGAGTGATTTTGTCTCACTCCTCCAGGCAGTGACTGGAGACATCTTAGCCAATCACTGTTGGGGAAGGGGGGACACTGGCATCTAGTGGGCAGGGGCTAGAGATGCTGCTGAACGTCCGCAGTGCACAGGACAGCCCCCACAAGAGTCACCTAGCCCCAAGCGCCAACTGTGCTGAGGCTGGAAAAATGTGATTTACAGTAAAACTTTATATGGAGAGAAAGGAACACTTCCCTGAGATGTGCACAGGCTGCTCTACCAGACTGGTCTTGAATTAAGGCAGGTTGAACAAGTGATTCTGGGCAATAATAATAAGAATAAATCACAAAAGAGCTTGCTTTTTATGTATGATTCATATCTTTTTACTCATTTAATGCTCACAATATCCTGAGACATAGGTGCCATTCTCTCCTTCATTTTTTTCAGTAGGGGAAACAGACAGGGAGATTACTTAGCTTGCTTGAAGGCTAGTACCTAGTGAGTGTCAGAGCCAAGGCTTAGACCATCTGGCTTTGGAGTCTGGGCTAAGTCCCACCTCCACTTCTTCCACTTCTGGGCTAAGTCCCACTTCTGTGCTTCCTAGGATGGAACACCGAGCAAGAGAGCCTGCCTTTGCGCCTAATCCAGCATGTGATCCTTGGCCAGCACTTTACTAGCCATCAAAGAGCCAAGAGCAACATTAACCAGAAGCAAGTGTCAGGCTTCCCTTATAGCTCAGTTGCTGAAGAATCTGCCTGCAATGCAGGAGACCCCAGTTCAATTCCTGGGTCGGAAAGATCCACTGGAGAAGGGATAGGCTACCCACTCCAGTATTCTGCAATGCGGGAGACTTGGGTTCCATCCCCAGGTTGGGAAGATCCCCTGGATAAGGGAAAGGCTACCCACTTAGTATTCTGGCCTAGAGAATTCCATGGACTGTATAGTCCCGGACACAACTGAGTGACTTTTACTTTCAAGTGTCACGATGGGGTACTTTGATAGGAACACCTGAAACCTTAGCACTATCATGATGCCTATAGGGCAATTTCTGAAGCCTTTAAAGGACAATGGTTCAATTATTCAAAGACATAGGCCAGGAGTCTGATTATTCATTTTATAAAAATCACCTCTGAAAACGATACTGTTTGCATACTCAGAAACTCCCTCTAACTGTTCAGGTTTGTTCCTTAAGGTAACTCACTTCCTTCCTCCTCCTGAACTTTCTTCTGTCTATATCCAACAGTCATTTAACCAGGAAATTATTTTCTTGTTCAAGTTTGGTTTCTGCATCTGATGCCTCTAGTGATAAAATTTAACCATACTAGATTAATGTAAAAGTAATGAATAGTAAATGCAGTGGGCTAATGACTTCATAATGGGACCATATAATTCCTTAAAGACAGTCAGAGTTGTGGGGCTCAATTGCTCTCAATTAACTGACCCACCTACCATTTCAGCACATGCTCTGAGCCAGGACCTGTCTGGGCCCTAGAAACACAAGTATGAGCAAGACATGGAGCTGAGAGTCTTACAGGAAAAACAGAGATCTCAGGAAGGATCAGGGGATAAAGGGGAAGTGCAGGGTGCAACAGGCGTGCACATCGAGGGGATCTAGCCCACTGTGGTATCAGGAAAGGCCTCCTGTGTCAGCAATACTGAGGCAGTGTCTTCAAGGAGCTTGCAACATACTTATGGAGATTAGACTGAGACCCAAAGCAATTGGAGAATAGGTGCGGGCTGAGTATGAGTGGGATGAGGCTTATGGCAAAGAAAAGCTCTCTGAGGGCTAAAGAACACAGGAAGCTTCCAGGAGGGGAGACTTCAAGCTGGACCTTGAAGGATGTGCAGGATTTGGTGTCATAAAAGTGAGAACACAAACAAATGCCAGAAGGCAGGACCTGTGAAAAATAGGCTGATTGGAGTATCAGGTGTGTTTTAGGAAGGCAAGAAGAGCATTTTAAGATGTAAGCTCCAGAGAGTATTAAACTATTGTTCTAAAGGAGTGCTTAAACCTTCATTTATCTGTTTCAATGAAACATTTTCTATTCCAGCAATGACGGCTCTTCGGAGTTATCACAGGTCAGGAGTCTCTATTTCAGTTGGGAAGAAAGTAACCACACCATGACATTTTAGTTTGGTGTGTTGACATTTGTTCCCAGGAATGAAGATGAGTTGGATAAGATGAGTCTGACCGCTACGCTGCAAGTGTAAAGAGCTTGCTGGTTCTGAGGGTGAGGAGGAGTAAGAACTTGTGAAGAGGGTGAGCAATTGCACAGGAAATGACTCTAGGAAAATATACTAAAAAATACTCTTCTTTCATTTTCTCCCAAGGAGCACATCACGGAAAGCAGAGGTCAGTTTCCCAATCTCTGTGTCGAGCCTTCAGGTCTGGGGGAGAAGGGAGTGTGTGTGTGTGTGTGTGTGTGTGTGTGTGTGTGTGTTGGGTACACAGTTGGGGAGAGGATAAGGAGGAATGCTGTGGAGGAGGCTCCTACATCTCTCTGTGCTATAATAGGATGAGGGGATGGGCATTACTCAGCACTGGGGGTCTCAGTCTGGGAGTTGCCAGACCCTACAGGAAAAGAAGGTCCCTTGGAGAAGGAAATGGCAACCCACTTCAGTATTCTTGCCTGGAAAATTCCATGACCAGAGGAGCCTGGTGGGCTACAGTTCATGGGGTCGCAAAAGAGTCGGACACAACCGAGTGACTAAACAACAGCAACAGGAGACACTTAGGAAGCACTGAGTGTTCATGGTTTGGGTAGGGATGACATGGTAAAAAGTGTGTAATGGGAGGAAGCTAGCAACATTTGGAAGGGTCAGAAGCTCATCTCAGTGACTGAGGACAGAGCCTAGAGGCGAGGATCTGCTTAGTGGACTCTGTAAGATAGAAGGTATGAAGTGTTAAAGAAAGCCTGGTTAAGGTGGTGGCAACTAAAATAGAAGAGCAAATTCAGGAAAAAAGCAATAGGATTGGGAAAGAGCGCAAGCACTCTGAGACATGGAGCCCGGAGGCTGACGTGTGAAGAGGAATAGGAATGCCTAAAGAGTAGGAGTGATGGATGCATTGAACTTGTGGTGGTGGGAAGGAAGGAAGCTTAAGTTTGGACACCAGAGGGTTATTAGCTTAGACCACCCAAGTGAATCCAGGAGAATGGGTACACCTGGAAGAAGTGAAAAATAATGGTCTACTGAGCACCTACTGTATACCAGGCACTTAAGAATTTCCCACTCACATTTTCAGAATTCTCCTGTCTCGGGGCTTGGGCTGTTGTCTCCATTTACAGAGGAGAAAATGTGATGCTTGGAGAGGTGAAGTACAGACCCAATGTGATACAGTTGAGGACGGGGAGCACTGGGATGCCTGGCTCAGAACCCACATTCTTAACCTGCACGATATTCTGCAAGAAGAGCAAAGGGCTAAGGCTGACCCGTGCAGGCATCCTCAGTCAGGGGAGGGGAGGAGGAGGAGAAACCAGTGAAGTGCCCGGAGAGGTCACATGAAGACCAGGACGTGTCTGTTGGAGACGCAGGGACGTGGGGACAAGGGTCCCCACATGGGTGCCACCACACAGTGGATGAACACAAGAAGTCTCTGCTGCTGCTTATGAAGACACTTGGAAATACAAGGGACTGTTTCATAATATTTGGTCTGAGTTGTTTATCTTATTTAGAGTGGATTGAAAACCAAATCCCCAAATGTAATCATTTCACAATAAAAAAACAAAAACACCAAATCTTGTGTATACTCTACCTGGAGCTGTCCCTGGAGGAGAGGCTGACCTTGAGGAGTTATTCGGCTTGATTGATCTATTCACCATGGGAGCTGAAACACACAATCATATATATATTAGGGTTATATGAATATATTGTAGACACAGTCTACTGATGGTGATTTACACTTATGGAAAAATGCATGGTAGAAATAATGGGCTAGACCAGATAATTCGCAAAGAATGGGAGATACAATTAAGCCCACAAGCCATTAAAAGTAGCCTTTTCAGTAGAAAAAAAGAAACATTTTTCGAATGAATATGTTAATAATTAAAGTGAATATTTGCTTGGAATTTCATTTGCCAAACTGGGGGTCTCAGAGATGAAAGAGTTTGTTTTTCATCAGGGGAACATGTATTAAACTAACAGTGGAGGGCCCAAATTAACAGCCCTGCATTCCCTGCCACTCATAACACATCATTGCTCTTGGATTTTGTAGGTTTTGGGGATATGGAGGCATTTCATTTGTACTTATTGTTTTATGGTTATGGGTGAATTCAGGAATCCTGGAGGGCCTACAAGCTGTTGTTGATATTTAGGGCGTGAAGGCGAGGGCTGTGACGTGATGACAGTGTAAAACCTGAGTACGGCTACTTCCGAGTTCAAGTTTATTAGATGAGTAGTGTTACTTGAAGAGGCAGCATTTATACAGGATTATATTCTCCATAGCAACTACGTCCAAAGTAGTCCTACCCTAATTCTCGCCTCATCTGAGGGTACGTGGCATGGGCTTTTAAAGATAATTTATTTGTAACTGCATTTGTTATTTCGTGAAGGATTTACAAATGAAATGTTTCTTGTGGGCCTGATGTAGCACTAAATTTTAAAGAATTAGAACACAGAGCATATTTTATTCTTTCATTTTCTCAGTCTTCTGCAGAAATTATTCCTGGTACAATATTTGTAAAGTCAGCCTGGTGGCTCATGACCTCATTAGTATTAGATTTTATGAGAAACCCACTCTTAGTGAAGAGCTAAAGAGAAGAACCTAGGTGCTTTTATATTTTGAGAAGACAGTATTAAATCACGGAAGAGGATGGAGAAAGAAGAATCAAGGTTGAAAAATACAGGGATGGGTTGCTCACTATGCGCTCTGATGGACCAGCCACTCAACCAAAGAAGGCAAAGGCCACGGAGCAGAGGTCTCAGCAGCGTCATGTCTGAGCACTTTAGTACTTGTGAGCAAATAATGCCCTAATCAACTGGTAGAAGTTTTCAGGTGCTTAAAACTGCAAACTCTTGCCTTTTTCAGATGGGATTGAACTGTCTTCTGTGGGGTGAATATAGTTTTCATCTTCATCTTCCACAGGGACCACATAATCAGCCTAAAAGAAATACAGAAATGCTGTACATTTGGAGCTTACTGGATAAGAAAGGGTGATATTAAGAAATTTTTCATAATCCATATACCATTGAACTTCCTGATGTAAAGGGATTTGGTTACTTCTAGTATATTCACAGAGTACAACCATCACCACAATTATCTTTAGAACATTGTTATCACCCCCAAAAGGAACTCTGCACCCATTAGTCACTCCCAACCACCCCCTCCCCTGACCCAGTCAACCATGAACCTTCTTTCTGTCTTTAAGAATTGCCCATTCTGGACATTTTATGTAAATAGAATCATACACTATTAAAATATGCAGTCTTTTGTGATTTCTTATAACAGAAATTTCAAGGATCAGCCACGTTGTAGTATGTATCACTACTTCATTCCCTTTTATGGACAACTCATATTCCATTGTATGATTATACCCCATTTTACTTATCCATTTATCAGCTGTTTCTACTTTGGGGCTGTTATAAGTAATGATATGAACATTCATGTACAAATTTTGTGTAGCTGGACATTTTTCTTGGGAATATACCTAATGATGGAATTGCTGGATCATATTGTAGCTCTATATTTAATAGTTTGAGTAATGGTTAAGTTGTTTTCCAAAGTGGCTGCACTAATTTTTCATTTCCACTAGCAATGTATAAGGGTTCCAATTTCTCCACATATTCACCAGTACTTCTTATTGTCTTCTTTTTTATTATAAGCATCCTTGTAGGTATGAAGTGGTATCTAACTGTAATTTTGATTTGCATTTCCCTGATGGTTAATGACATTAAGCATCTTTTTGTCTGCTTATTGGCCATTTATATATATTCTTCAGAGAAAAATCTATTCCACCCCTTTGTCCACTTTTAATCTGGTTATCTTTTTATCTTTGGATGATTAGAGTTCTTTAAATGTTCCAGATATAAATCTTTTATGGATATATAATTTGCAAAAAAATTCTCTCATTCTATAGGTTGTCCTTTCCCTTCTTTGTGGCATCATTTACAGCACAGAAGTTTTACATTTTAAAGTACATTTTATCTATTTTTTCTTTTGTTGTATCTAATAAACCATTGCCTATTCCAAGGTTATAAAGATTTATACCTATGTTTTCTTCCAAGAATTTCATAGTTTTATTAATAGCTCTTATACTCAATCCTATGATCAATTTTTATCTGATTTTTAAAAATATGATGTGAGATAGGAGTTCAATTTCATTCTTTTGCAAACAGTGGCTGACTTTATTTTTCTGGGCTCCAAAATCACTGCAGATGGTGATTGCAACCATGAAATTAAAAGATGCTTACTCCTTGGAAGGAAAGTTATGACCAACTTAGACAGCATATTGAAAGACAGAAACATTACTTTGTCAACAAAGGTCCGTCTAGTCAAGGCTATGGTTTTTCCAGTAGTCATGTATGGATGTGATAGTTGGACTATAAAGAAAGCTAAGCACCGAAGAATTGATGCTTTTGAACTGTGGTGTTGGAGAAGATTCTTGAGAGTTCCTTGGACTGCAAGGAGATCCAACCAGTCCATCCTAAAGGAAATCAGTCCTGAATATTCACTGGAAGGACTGATGCTAAAGCTGAAACTCTAATACTTTGACCACTTGATGTGAAGAGCTGACTCATTTGAAAAGACCCTGTTGCTGGGAAAGATTGAGGGCAGAAGGAGAGGGGATGACAGAGGATGAGATGGTTGGATGGCATCACCAACTCAATGGACATGGGTTTGGGTGGACTCTGGGAATTGGTGATGGACAGGAAGGCCTGGTGTGCTGCGGTTCATGGGGTCACAAAGAGTCGTACACGACTGAGTGACTGAACTGAACTGAACTGATGCAGTTATCTTAGCACTATTTGTCTAAAAAATTGATTTTTCTTATTAAATTGTCTTGGCACCTTTGCCAATAATCAATTGACCATAAATATGGGGAGGGAGTGATTTTGTAAGAGTTCTTAAATGTCCACATGAGTTTCTTCCTTAACACATTTCATGTGAAAATTTAATAGCTTCACATACATTATTTCACTGAATTCTTTCAATAGTACTTACCTATTAAGTTAGGTATTTTAAAAAATTTATTTATCCTTATTTTACAGATGAGGAACTTGAGAAAAGTTGAGTAATTTGTCCAAGGTCAAATAAAATCACAAGAATTAGAAAAGTTGAGTAATCTGTCCAAGGTCAAATAAAATCACAAAACTGATGCCCTGCAAGGACAGGTACTGGGTCAGTGCTCTGGGCACCAGTGAAGCCCTGGAACATTTGTGTTGAATGAAGGGCTGGTCTTTTGTCAGTGGGTGCTGGAGAGGTAGTCCAGGATGGCCATGTAGCACCTGGGCTCTAGCATCTCATGATCTGGGTTCAAATGCTGGCTCTAGCATATAGCTCTTTGACCTTGGACCAGTTTTTCAACCCCTTGTCACCGCATCTGTACCATTTCCTCCTCTGTAATGCAGGTGTTAATAGCATGCACTTCATAGAGCTGCTGTGAGGGTGTGATGAGATAGTAACACAGAGGACTCAGATCACCAGCTGATACACAGTGCTTGTCAAATGCTAGACCATCCTGTCATTATAGGGCAGTTGCTCCTCCCCACCCCCAACTCTCTGGTCAGCCTATACCCCATATTTTCCCTGTAACCTGTATGGCAGAGCTAAACATTTTTATTTGTGCTTATATTTGACTTCTTCCTTTCCTATCTAATGTCTCGGCCAGATCTTGATGTTGTCTTCTATTTCTTTTTTAACTCTTCCTTATCTTGATTGTCCATCTCCTCATTCCAGAATATGTCTCCTCCAGTCATCCCCTTTCCCCACTGGTTCAGACTTGCCTGAGCCACCGCCACAAAGCTGTTATTAGCAAAACTCAGCCTCTCCCCACTGGGGTCCACCTCCAGTTATTCACAGAAATGGAGAGCCTCATGTAACTCACAATCTTCATTTGTACTCTGTGTCTGAGTTGGTATCTTCATATAGATCCTCTGAATGCTGGAAGAATTAACAGTCAGACCCTAACAGATGGTCTCCCTACTGTGTCCCATGCTCAGATTCTCCCTGCCACCTGTTCACACCCTGAAAGGGCAGCATCCCCTCGGACTGACAGACAGACTGAGGATTGACAAACCAAATTCATTCTCAGTCTGCCGACTTCCTGACTTCAACTGTCCCTGGAGGGGGGGTGGGTCATAAGCACAAGTGCTTATAGGAACAGGCATGGAACAACAATGGGGCATTTGCAGAGTCAGGCTCTGTCCATGCCTTGTATCAGTGGTGAAGATGATGACAAGTGGAAATGGCTGAGTTGGAAGGGTGCCATGAGGCTCAGCTGCTTCGAGGCCATGACTGGCCAAGTGTTGACAGGCCCTTGGTTTTCAGGAGAAACTAGAAAACTGGATTTTATAAAGAATCTAGAATATGGTAGAAAGGAATCCAATTTATACAATACATAGAATGCTTCTTTGTGTGAGACACTGAATTTAGTGACGTATATATATTCCTTTATTAAATCTTTAACAGAACCTGAAGAGATGAAGAGAGACTCAGAGAGGTTATCTGATACCTAAAATCACACAACTAGTAAGAGTGAAGTAGATATTTGGGTCTGGATGCTGCCTCTATTTTACTTAAAAAGTCTCTCTTTTATGTCTCTTGTTGGGCTACAAATTATACTAAGGTGGAAAAGAAGGTCATTTTACAACATATTTGTAAGCTATTGGTTTTATCACCTATAGGCATTTAGAAACAGTTGCTTCTTCGAGAAGCTGCAGTACCATTATGTCTGTTGATGGTTAAGAGTTGCCTTTAATGTTGTTTTCTTTCTTAGACAATTGCGCTTGTGTACCAAGTCACTCAGTCATGTATGACTCTTTGTGACCCCATAGACTGTAGCCTGCCAGGCTCCTCTGTCCATAGGATTTCCCAGGCAAGAATATAGGAGCAGGTTGCCATTTCCTACACCAGGGGATCTTACTGACCCAGAGATCAAACCCACATCTCCTGCATTGGCAGGCAAATTCTTTACCACTGAGTCACCTGGGAAGTCCATTGCACTTGTATAATTGTTCTGAAGGCTAAGTTCGAGGGCTTGTTTTTTTTTTAAAATGCAGTACTTCTGGGAGCCATAACATAATTCAATTTTATCAGTCATTATTCCAATAGTTTGAGTAAATTTACCCATTCATTTTTAAAAATTTCATAGGGGATAAGACATGAAAATTTAGGTGCTGGCAGAAGGGAGATTAATAAGATAAACCTAGAGTTGGGTCCAAACAGCTGGCAAAGGAGGTTCCTGGATACCTAGGGCTGGGGAGAGAGAGAGTGAGAAGCAAGAGATTCCGAAGGAAGTGAGGGGTCAGTTCTTCTACAGGTTGTGCAGGGTCTCCATACAGACCGGGGGTCTCCAGGATACATCCTATTGCACCCCTCTTAGAGGATCAGAGAGAAAAGAAAGTGGGGGAAAGAAAATGAGGCAGGACAGGGAGAGAAGCATAGGAGGATAAAGATGGGGAAGTATCTTATGGAGGAATGAGAGATTTACAGGAAACTGAGGGATAAGAAAGAGGAAATAGTGAGAGGGGCACAAATCCGGGCTGGAAATTACGTCATATACCTGATTAGTAAATGAAAGTGCTTAAATAAGGCCATATATGACATTCTAAGAGAAAACATCCTTTCAGCAGGACAATGGAGAGTTGCGGGGCAGGTGGTTAGTGCCGTCAGAAAGCCAGGCCTGGAGGAAGGAAGACACTCCTGAGGCTACACTCTCCTGCCCCTCCCCTCATCTGGCCCCTGCATCCTGCCTTCCCCTTGGTCTGGGCAGCCTTCTGGCAGATTTACTTTACCTCATCCTCAAGGAGCTCTTTGGGTTTGGGTGGGACTTGAGGTTTATGCAGTGAAGTGTTGGCTGGCAGAGAGGTGGCCAGTCTTGCCTTTGCCGAAGGCCAGTTGGGTTTACTGGGAAGAGTCTTGCTGAAGGGTGGAGACTGCCTCTGGCTTGATCGGTTGTCTTGAGAGGAACAACAAGAACAACAAAACATAAGATGAAAGGATTCTGGATCATTTCCTGGGCAGAAGTCACCGAGTTCTAGAAAGTGTATAAAACTACCAGAATCCATGTAGCCAACATGCTATTGACTGGGGCATTCCTTTAAAGAGAAGTACGACATGTTAGGCAAAAATCTCAACAACCCATTGACCTATGTTATAAAAACCAGAAGAGTATCCTCCCAGGGAGCCATGAGATCCACAAACCCCAGAGAGCTGACAGTCCAAGCATGCGGCTAGATAGAGTGGATGGTGACCTTGGCAGTGCCGGGGGCTAAGGGGAGCAGTACTCCTCAATGGGTTCATTTTGCTCCTTGAAGCCTTAAGGGCAGTGATTCTCAATCCTGCTTACACATGGGAATCACCTGTGAAAGTGAAAGTGTTAGTTGCTCAGTCTTGTCTGACTGTGACTCCATGGACTGTAGCCCGCCAGGCTCCTCCAACCATAGGATTTTTTCAGGCAAGAATACTGGAGTGGGTTGCCATTTCCTTCTCCAGGGGATCTTCCTGACCCAGGAATCCAACCTGGGTCTCCCACATTGCAGGCAGACTCTTTACCATATGAGCTACAAGGGAAGCCCCTAGGAACCACCTAGGAGCTTTAAAAAACACCAAGGCCCCACCCCAAACATGCAGTTTAAAACTTCTGGGGAGGGATCTTTCATTATAGGTTTTAAAATTTCCCCAAGTTATTCTAAGGTATATGCAGGGTTGCAACTACTCATCTGGTAAAACTACACATTCCTCCCCTCAATGGTTTCCTTGAGTGGGGAAGAAGTTGTGAATCCCCCTGGTCCAGGGCCATCCTCAGCAACTGTTGTGGAAGGAGTCCAGTCACTGAAGTCAAGGGCCCTGGGTTCAGTCTCCTGCTCTCCACCCACCAGCTGAGCTCCTTTGGGCCTCTTCTTCATTATGTAACGTCTCTGGGACTCACATTCCTCATTTTAAAAATGAAGATGGCTAACTATCCACTTCAGAGAATTATTGTAGGGATTAGGAAGAAAACAGCAAAGGCAGGAGGAACACCGTGTCTGACAGAGACAATGCCTAATAAACAGAACTAACCTTAGCTGCATCATGTGGTGGAGGGCTTAGGCAACAGGGGTCTACCCAGTTGATCTGTGAGCGCAGATTCTGACTGATTCATTATAGGAAAATCTTAGCATGGGAATAACCTGGTGGGTTCCCCATCCTGGAACAGCACAGGTGCCTACACTGGCTCCCAGCTTCCTCTGGCCCTGGCTCAATGCAGCAGTCCCCTGCCTCCGCCTGTCCTGCTCTGCTCTTGTCCCGGGGCCTGTTCCAGCTTCTGCATCACTGAAGTTGTGTGGTTAGCTTCACACTGGGTGCCTCCCAGGAGCCTCTTTCCGGTGGTGTAGCTGTGTTAAGGCACCAAGGCATCTACTCTGCTGTGCCTGTGACAGTTTTAATAGCTTTATTGGCAGCTCTTGGAGTTTACTGAGATTTCTTAACGTAAGATTTAAGCCCAGCAGAAGTAGCAAAGCACAGAAAACAGGCTCTGAAGAGTATGACCTGGAATGAACTGCTTGAGTGTGAGCATGCTCAGTCATGTCCAACTCTTTACAACTCTACGGACTGACTGTAGCCTGCCAGGCTCCTCTGTCCATGAGATTCTCCAGGCAAGAATACTGGAGTGGGTTGCCATTTCCTCCTCCAGGGGATTGTCTCGCCCCAGGGATCGGACTCGTCTCTTGTGTCTTGTGCATTGGCAGGCAGATTCTTTACCACTAATGTCACCTGGGAAGCCCATGTGAGCTGCTTAATCTGCCCCCCTCTCCACCCCCAGCTTGAATGGTTGTCTCCTGGTCTGTAAAACAGGCCTGATGCAGCTCCTTCCTTCCTGAAGTTGTTGCGATGATTGAAGGAGGTCACAAATTGGGTGGCAGTGTGTGGAGCAGGGTGATGAAGAGCTAGGGCTTTGGAGGCTGAGTGGCCAGCTTGCATGCTAGTTCTGCCACTTATAAAACCTTGGCCCAGTGAATTCCCTCTTCCGAGCATCTCCTTTTTCCTTTGTGATCGTCAAGAAGGTGAAGTCACCACGACAGTAAAGCACTAAGTTGCAGACTGTAAAAAGTCTGGGAGTACATCTGTCTTGCTAGCTGCTGAGCATAGCTCTGGCACATAGCAGGTGCTCAGTAAGTTAATTATTGGAAGCAAGGGACAGTACCTGGTACCCATAAGGAGGAAGTTAACTACAAGGATCCCTTTACTCCCAGGGGTGCCATGGTGATCACCACAGACGCAAGCCCTTCCTCACCTTTGTTGAACTTTAGTCACTTGTTAGAATGGAACACAGACTTCTTGGAGGGGCATTAAAAGCTACACTCAGGCCTGGAGACCACACCTAAGACTCGTCCATTTAATTCATGAGCCTCATTCTCGGCCTAGAGCTCTTGACCACTCTCCCCTCCCTACAGTTAAGAGTCTAGAGTCTTGACTCAGAGTGTCTGTACAGCTTGCCGATCTGGGGGCGGGGTGAGAGAGGAAGGAGGGGCCTTAGCAAACACTGAGATTCTAGCAGCTCTCCTTGTTCTGTACAGTCATCTCACGAGAAATGTCAGAATCTTCAGTGTAGGAAGCTGGAGGAGAAGCAGCGACTAATCTCAGGATTGATTTCTCTGGGGACTACAGGAAATGAGGTGTGGTGGGGTTGGGAGCCACATCGGGGTGTGTTTGCTTTATCTTTTGCCTGTTTTCAACATTCCCAATTTGCAACGGTCCCCCCCTCCTTCCCCAAAGGGCAAGCTTTCCAGCAGGGGGCTCCAGTGCCTGTGAGTGACCAGATGACCCACTTGGAGGTGGTGAGAGTGGAGCCGCCCCCCACCCTGCAGCCTTGGTCCGCCCTGCTCCCTGCTGCTCTAAAGGCCCAGCGCCCAAGGTCCGGCAGGGACTCACCGACATACTCGCCCCTGGTGAAGGGCAGGGCCGGGTGAACTGTCCGTGTCTCCTGCTCCGCAGGTGGCGGCTCGTAGCTGTCGTCCCCGGCCTCCTCGGCTGGCAGCACGTACATTTCTGAGTCCGAGTGCTCGTCTGGGTTTTCATAATCGCTGTCCTGCAAGTGCAGACACCATGCTCAGGGCAGCATGCATGCTTAGGGGGCCAGAGCTGCTCCCCCAGCAGAGGGGCGAGAAAGCAAGGCTGCGAGGGGTTGGCTAAGCAGGGTTAGGCAGCTGTTAGTGGCAATGCTGGGGTTGAAGCCAGGCCTTTTTGTTTCCAAAATGTATCACCTGGACTGTATCCTGGGGAAACGTGTGGGCATCTAACCCCGAGGGTGGCTGAACTCTTTGTGTCTGCAAAGAACAGCCAGAGGTAAAAATATATCTCGAGAAGACAGAAAAAGGACCCACTAAAATAAAATAGCCAAATAGGTTTTATTAACCATAATGTTGACAGTTGAGGAAAATGTAAGTTTATTAAGAGAGGGTAAGAGGAAGCTCAGGAACACAGACACCTTTGAGGAGGTGAGGTTTGTTTGTTTTAAACAGAGTTGGAAAGCTTCAGGGATGAGGATTTCAAACTGACTCAGTCCATTCTCTTTCTTTCTTTCTTTTTTGAAATCTTGAGGCACTTATGCCAACTAAGACTTTTATTATTATTATTTAAGTTTATTTTTTTGGCCACACCACATGGCATGCAGGATCTTAGTAGCCTGACCCGGGATTGAACCTATGCCCCCTGCAGGGGAAGCTCAGAGTCTTAACCACAGGACCACCAGAGCAGCCCTTCTTTTTGTTTCTTTTTTTTAACATGCATTTTATTTAAGTCCATCTTGAAAATACATTGACCCAGCCCAAAGTTCACACAGTTTACAAGGAGGAAGTTCTTCCCAGTTGCTCAGTTCCTTTCCCCTCAGGCAAATACAGCTACTAGCCTCTTGTGCATTTTGTGTGATTTTTTTTTTTTTTTTCTGTATGCAGTGCACACATATACTAACATACTCATGTGCAGGAAACCTTTGATTCAGGACTTAAGAGGTCCTCTGACCTCCGTGCCCACTGCTCCCACACACCGCCTGACACAATGCTTCGTCCAAACACGATTTTCCTCTGAATCGATGATGCACTTGCCTTTTGGCCTGTCTGACAACTGCGTAACATTAAAGTGGATGCTGGGTTTCCTTCAAGCTGAATCTTCAGGGCCCATGACGGGGCCAGCCCATGATCAGTGCTCAGGATGTTGGGAACAGGCAGAGGAGTCGGTGAGTGAGCACTGTGCTTTCCTCCTCAGCTGGAAGGGAGATGGAGGAGAGAGGGAGGGTGAAGGGTGGGAGAAGGAAAGGGAAAGGAGGCTGAAGAGAGAGCATTTCCAGAGGTGGCTGGGGGAGCCTGGGAGAGAGACGAAAAGGAGGAAAGAGCCCAGAGGAGGGTGCTTGTCTTTAACCTTGGCATGGGGGAGACAGGAAGGGACACATAAGAAAACCACTGTAGGGGAGATTTTCCAAAACCCTAGGTCAGAAATAGCAGATGGGAATATGAAAATAGGCTGAATAAAATAATGATAATAGTGATTATTATTATAACCAACATTTCTATGCACTGCATACCTCACTGACCCCTCACCACAATCATAGGAGATAGTATTTTTTTTAATCCCATTTTACAGTTGAGGAAACCAAGGCACAGAGGAGTTGAGTAATTTTGAGTCTGCAATCTGTGATCTGGAGAAATCAGTGATGATTCCCAGGCAGGGGGCCTGGGAGATAGAGTAGGAATGCAAGGGCGGGCTGGAGGGGAGGCTTAACAGGGCAAGACCCTGGCTTCCCAAGCCAAGGACCCTCTTTCCAGGCCAAGGACCCTCTTTCCAGGCCAAGGACCTTCTTTCCAGGCCAAGGACCTGATTGCTGCTGTTGTGGCATTCCATGGTGACGTCAGTTTGACTACTGAGAAGCAGTTGCTTTAATAGACATTCAGAAAGTAAAAGAACCAGTGGGTAGCCAGACACATGTGCCTGAGCTGGGGGTGGCGTGAGCATCCCACTTTGTTTCAGTTTTTTCACAGAGCAGAGATGGGCTTCATGGACTTAATTACCTGGAGGCTGAGGATTGGTGTGCATACTGGGGAGGGTTCTGGAGTCCTTGCCGCCCCTCCAGCAGAGCAGTCTGACTGAGAGGACCAGGTGGGCAGAGTGACATAGAGGGTATAGGAAGAGAGACCCCAGGTCAGCTGTTCCTAGCAGTCGTCCTCCGACACTGGGCTGCCCACCAGACTGTGCCCCCCATGAAGACCGGACTGAGATGTAAATCTAAGACCCAGCACAGGACCGGCTACAGGGTAGGTGCCCACCCAGTGTACATGGAATGGATGAGTCACTGATGCTGCCTGGGCTCTGGGGGGACTGAGGAGGAGGGGATGGCTGCTCAGAAGTCCTGAGCTGGCCCTGCATTGTGAAAGGCTCTTCTGCGGGAGATGTACAACGAGCCTCTCCTACTTAAGCACCATAGAATGTATTGAATGCTTTCTCATCAAGAGAATTACAAGAGAATCTGTTCAAACGTCTGAGAGTTTTAAAGAATCCTCCTCCCCCCAAGTTATTCTAAATTATGACTAAATTCATTTGTTAACTCATTAATTCATTTAGTACTTGAAGAAGTGCAATACTTTGGACAGTCTGATGGGAACTCTGAAGGAGCGACTGTGTCATCAGACAAAAATCTTGTAAAATTGACCATTCCTTCATTCGTTTAATCAGAATTTATTCACCTACTCTGTACCAACTTGACTCTGAGCATAGTCCCTGGCCTCACAGAGCTTATATGTTAGCAGGGGAGACCAACAACAAACAAATAGTGAATAATAAATAAATAATCAAGTGGGATGAAATATCTATCCCTGGTGATAGCACTGAAGCGGGGGTGGTTCAGAGAAGGGTGGACAGGTCTACATGGGTCCAATGTCATCAGGTCTGGAGGCTTTATCAACAAGTCTGGATTTCATTCAGTGTACAAAGGGAATCCAATAAGGATTGTGAATGATTGTGAGTGAATGTTCAGGCAATCCTTGTTACAGCTGATGGGCTTCCCTGGCGACTCAGTAAGTAAAAAATCCACCTGCAAGGCAGGAGACCTGAGTTCGATCCCTGGGTCTGGAAGATCCCCCTGAGAAAGAGATGGCAACCCACTCCAGTAATCTTGCCTGGGAAATCCCATGGACAGAGGTGCCTGCTGGGCTGCAGTCCATGGGGTCGCTCAGAGCCGGACGCAAGATAGCGACTGAACCACCGCCATAGCTGGTACTTCTGTTTTGGTTGTTTGACTTTGGGACACAAGTCATTCCCTCCTCTTCAGGCTGATTTTATTTTATGTTTTCTAAGTCCCCAATGCGTGTTATTTTCATCCAGCGAGCGAGCTCGGTTTTCTCGGCTGCGTGGTGAATTGGTCCAGCTTCTTCAATTTTGCTTCAGATGTGACCTGGTGGTGCTGCCAGCAGGGGGCGCAGCTGCAGCGCTTCTGAGGGATCAGTGCCTCCCTCAGAAGTTCCTCCCCCTGGGAGGAACTCCTTGTCTGGGTGACCCACAGAGAGGCAACCTCCTCCCTTCGTTATAAAAATCTCTTCTCTGCAGTTGAAAAGGGAGGAACTCCGGTCTCCTAATGCTCTGAATAAAATCCAGGTGGGTGTAAACAGTGTGAAGCTGGGCTCAGCTGAGTTCTGGGCCCTGGACAGGAGTCCTGGGTTCTCATTCTGCTGGGCTGCTGAGAAATTGAGACTGTCAGCAAGTCGTTTTCATGTTCTTGGCTTCAGTTTCCACAGGGGATATGTGGTTGTATGGAGGCCCTCTGGGATCCCTTTCAGACATGAAGCTCACAGACTAGAGAAGACTAACTTTCTGTGGGGATATGATATATGAGGAAATATCATTGTGCCCAGGAGTTTTTAGGATGTCTTGTCTCTTGAAGACTCAGCCCCAAAGAGCTCTGTGGGCTGCAGAGCCGTCTTGAAGGGGTTCACAGTTAATTCAGACCCACCGTTCCAACGTCGTCATGGTCAGGGAGGGCCCTCTCAACCTGAAGCCCTCCGAGTCTGCTCATATCCTCTTGGTCATAGCAAGCCTCTTGGGTTTGAAAAATCTGGGTCTGAGATCTGGGTTTGACTTTTGGAATTGCAGGTACTTACCCTCTCCCATGCCTTGGTTTCTTCACCTGTAAAATGGACAGGACTGATGTCCAAACTGCTTAACCACTAATACGGCTCAGGTACTGACCATGACCTTGAGGAGTGACCCAGAGGCTCCCTGATGTGCCAGGCATTCACGCTTCAGTTGTTGGTTTGATTAGGGCTCCTGTCAGGGACCAAGCAGTGATAGGGCACTAGGGAATTCAGGGCAAAAGCATTTGCCAACTGATTGGGAAATATTCAAACTCTTTAACATCTTTTTTTGGTTCTGAATACCAGTAGGAAATGGGGATAAGAATGCTGACTCATAGGGCTGTGGCGAGGATTACATGAGGTGGTAGGTGTAAAGCATCTAGCCCAGCACAATGTGGTGCTGGCCCAAGTCAGCCTACTGCTGTCCTGCCTATTGGCGGCCCTTCCAGCCCAACTATCTGCCCTCTGTGATGGGCAGCTGACCACCAGCATTTTATTCAGAAACAAGTCCTTATAAAGACCTCCCAGGGGCCATGGTGAAAATGGTACCCTTCTCATCCCAGGAACAAATACTCACGAAGTCATCTGACCACTGCTCCTCTTCGTCGGCTGGGCTCTCTGAAATGGCATGTTGGAAGCAAAATGAACAATATAAATTTTTACTGGCCAGCTCCACTCTGTCCAGGAGCACTCTGCACCTGCCTGCCCTGCCCTTGGGCCACATGCTCCCATCTGCTAGGCCTGAGGCAGTTATTACAGTCATCTCACATTCATTCCTTTTGAATCCTTTTTTAAAAAACAGTCAATTTTCAAAGTATTAGTAAAAGTCCCACTAGGGCAGAGAAACAGTAACTCTGACCCTTAACGTCTTTGTCAAGGGACATTTTTGGGACCTTGGAGTAGCAACCCATGCTGTCCTGCTTCCTCACATCTTTTTAAATCAATATGTGGATGGTGTAGTAGGAAGAGCCCTGGACAGGGAGTCAGAGAGATCTAAATTCTCATCCAGGTTCTAACTTCTCTGGACCGCCTCAATTTTTAGATCTATAATATAAAATTCAGGATCTCTAAAAGGGAATCACTTCCAAGATTCTGTCTGGCTCTAACATTGACATTTTTATTTTTAAAAGTTTTTTTTCCGATGTGTTGCTACATGCTGGGCAATATTATCAGAGCTTCGTATTCACTTTCTCAAAAACCTTATGAGGCAACTGAGGCCTAGAGAAGATAAATCATTTGCCCAAGATCATGTAGTAAATGGTAAAGTCAGGAGTTGAGCCCTGCACATTGATTGACTTCCAAGTGCAAGCTCTGAACCTCAGCACCATGCTGTTCTTGCTCTCCTTGGGCTCCAGGGTGCAGCCACTGTCTTAGGCTCTACAGCAGGTATAAAAATGGATGTGACAGGTCTTGAGTAGCTTATGATCTTGAAGAATGAAATAGGCCTGGATTATGACAGCCAGGGAGACTATCTGACTCCTTTTCCTCCAAAACACATTTAGAGTTTGAGAAGCTTAGCATCAATCCCATCACATAAACTGACCTTAGAGGCTAAATAAAATTCTCTCAATCAGACCCAAGTTCAGATGGTAGAGTAGCATCAATGACTGCACCGTAGGGGCCACATCTCCCCTCCTACCCCACTGAGCAGTTGCAGCTAGAGGACTTGATGGATGGTCCCCGAATCCCCTGGAACCTCAATAGAAACTTTTCTTGCCATTTCTGCCACTGGAGACCTCTGACTCCAGCTCTAGGCAGTTCCACAGAGGCACAAGGAAAAGAATTACAGAGATGAAGTGAGAGCAGGAAGGAGGTCTTGTATCAGAACAACCACCTCTTTAGAAATGACAGCAACAGCAACTCTCTCTTGAGAAAAACATGATAGACACAAAGAAGGAGCTTCATTCTACAAGTGGATCAAACTTTGACATTAACAGAAAATAATTCTTATGAAATTATTCTCTGGGCTGACTTATACCAAAGGACAGTGTATTCAGATCACTAAGTTGCCAAGAAACTCTAAAAGAATAGGTGAACAAGTCTTCTTCCCAATATGCCAATATTGGCCCAATGGGGAGTAAGTTTCTAATACCTTAAGTCTGGGGATAACTGAAGGTCAAAACGTATAGCAGCAAGATGCTATTGTTTCAACCATTTAAAAACAGAAACATTTATAAAATATTTTTATAAGACACAATTCCTTGCCTTGGTCAACCCTGGAGTCAGGATCCACTTGATCATCAGCTAGTGGAAAAAGCAGTTGTAGCTGTCATCTAGCTAGTTTTCCTGTATCTGTGGTCTTTCCTCTTCAATTCATCCTTCTAACTGTTTCTAGTTATTTTCTTAAGACAGAAATTGGCTCATGCTGCCCTTTCCTCAAGAATCATCAAGGATAGTTGAGCTTCTGTGTCAACACGTTCACACACTGTACCTGCTGTCCCTCCCTTGCTCACTCACAGTGATGCCGGATAGCTTGTTCCTCCGTCTTAGGCTTTTGATAGTTCTCTGCTCTGCTCATGCGGCTCCCCCAGCCCATCTCCCTTCTTCCATGGAAACCCCTGTCATCCCTCCTCCATGAGGTTCTCTCCAGTCCCTCTGGTCATAATCCTCTGGTCAGGGTCCTCTCCAGTCCCTCTGGGTTGTGGGTTTTGACCTCGTAGATGCTGCCAGCACCTTGTGACATGTGCTTCATCCTGCCCTAAGAGACACGATTTATTGTCTCTCTGTACTGAAAAGCAAGACCTATTTATCTTTGGGTCTGGATGCCATTTTGCATTTGTAATTCTGCACTAATACTGAAACAAAAGCATAAGCCAGTAAATGAATTGAATGAGTGAAAATGAGGATAGTAATAAGAGATTCCATCATTGAATATTTCCTGCGTGCTGGGTGCTAGGGGAGGTATTATGAATGCATTTCTTTGTTTATTGTCAAAACAGTCTCTGTCGTAGGTGCCTTATTATCTGTTTTAAAGTAAAGGAAAATGAGGCTAAGAGAAGTTGCAAAACCTCCCTGAGGCACACGGCTAGTGAGTGCAGGGACTGGATTGGAGGCCAGGCTATGTTGGCTTCTGCAGCTGAAATCTCATGTGAACGGCCTGGCCCTCCACCGAGCATTCAGATAAAACCCAGGAGAAATAAGAATAGCCCAATCCAGGCATTGTGGCACATCGAGGCAGAAAACAGAGAAAAGCATCTGGAGGTGGAGGTTATTTGCTTGGTACCCCACCTTCCCCAGCTACATCTGTCTTCTGGCACAGCATCACACTCATCAAGTTATACATAGCAAGCCATTGCCCAGACTGAAAAGCATAGCAATCCAAAGTACTAGATCCAAGTAATGGGTGGTTTTCCAGCATCTCAAGGAGACTCCCAAAGTGTGTGGGTGGTGGTTTTAGATCCAAGCTCTCTGGGTTCAAATCCTGGCTCTGCTTTTTATTACCTGCTTGGCAATGGACCAGTACATTAATTGTTTAAAGCTTAATTTCCTTGTCTGTAAAACAAGGATAAGAATAGTGCCTGCCTCATGTTTTTATGAGAATCAAGTCATATAATACATGTGAAATGTTTTGCAAACCCTGACCACATTAAATGCTATGTTAATGTTACTCATTGTTGTCTTAATAAATCCTCAAAATGATACCAATTCAATTTCACTCTAGTGGTAACCACACAGCATTGTTACCACAAAGAAATGGATCCAAGAACCCTCTAGTATGTAGTGAGTGAAATTTTCCGGGGGGTAAGTTCAAGTTGAATATGGGCCAGATGGTATGGGGTTGCAGGCCCCTGCTAGAGAGCTGAGATGCTGGTTGGGCCTCCCTGTCAGGGAAAGCTTTTTCTGTTGTGTTATGTACCTGGTGTGGGGTTTAGCCTCTATTTACTGTGTCATAATCCCAGGCTTCCCTGGTGGCTCAGATGTTAAAGAATCTGCCTGGAATGCAGGAGAGACCCGGGTTCAATCTCTGGGTCGGCAAGATCCCCTGGAAAAGGAAATGGCAACCCACTCCAGTATTCTGGCCTGGAGAATTCCATGGACTGTACAGTCCATGGGGTCGCAAAGAGTCAGACACAACTGAGCGACTTTCACTTCACTCACTCTCTCCGCCAGTGGTAAAGAATCTGCCTGCCAATGCAGGAGGCGTAAGAAACATGAGTTTGATACCTGGGTAAGGAAGATTCTCTGGAGAAGAAAATGGCAACCCACTCCAGTATTCTTGCCTGGGGAATTGCATGGACAGAGGAGCCTGGTGAGCTACAGTTCTTTGGGTCTCAAAGAACTGGACACAACTGAACATGCACATACACACACATGCACCCACACACACATGCATAATTCTCACAATAACCTGAGGGATTGACATACTTATCTCCATATAACGAATGTGAGGCTCAAGGAAATTACAAAACTTTCCTAGGTTCAGTGATTAAGGGGCAAGGCCAGGATTCTGACCCAGGCCTAAAAACCCCAGAGGTTGAGATCTTCTCACTGAGCCCAGCCTCTACATGAAATAAAAGACCTAGGGTCTAGAGAAACTTTCACGGATCAGACTGAGGACAATCTGGGGTGGTATAAAATTTCCTGGTGTATGTCCAGCAGCTGATCATAATCCCAGGTGCTGGGGGAATTTGAAGAAACATGCACCCCTTGAGGGCTGAGAGGTTACTGAGGCTGTGTGCCCAAGGCAGGCTGGAACTAGGCCTTAAAGGAGAATGGTGATGAAAGAGGGTGTCCTCCTTCCACCCACAAGATGGCAGCTTGGGTGTCAGTCCCAGAAGCACAGCTTAGCCAGTGGAAGGAAGGGGCATCCATAAGGCATAGCCACGCACAGAACAGTTGAACTGCACTGGAGAATCACAGGGAGATACACTGACAGGTTAACAAAGCTCAGTTCGCTGCCAGCCGGGGGCTTGCTCCAGCCTCAGTGGCTTCTGCGGTTTCCAGTGACCAGGTGGAGAGGGGGAGGCTGACAAGGGTGGTGTCTGAGTACCCTTGATGTCAACCCACTCCAGTATTCTTGCGTGGAAAATCCCATGGACAGAGAAGCCTTGTGGGCTACTGTCCAAAATGTCACAAAGAGTCAGGCACGATTGATGACTAATACAAAGATGTGATGAGACAGTCTGAACCAGACTGGGGGTTCTTGGGAATGGGGAGAGAACAGTAAAGGACTCTGTGTTGAGAGCTGGAGGGAAAGGGTAAAGGAGAGGGTGTGGATGTCGTCTCTTGCTTGGGTGTCCTCGGGAGAACCAGAGGCCCTGGGTGGACCTGGTGACCTCCGAGTGATGGGCACTGAGGTGCACGCTGCAACTGCATGTCCACACGTGTTCTCCACTTTGGCCCCGATCTCACTCCAGAGGCTGTGCTCTGGCCACTGGGCCCGGCACCATTCTCCTCTTGCAGAGCGGGATGCAAGCACCCAGTGGGGATACTTGCAGTACGACCCAGGAAGAAGAGAGGAAGGAGGGTGCTCGAGCTGCGGTGGTGGGGACAGACGCAGGGAAGGAACGGAAAGCAGAACTACCGAGGCTGCGGGGGAGGCAGCGAGCTGACAGTCCCTCTGGGTACACCCAGAGGAGAAAGGGATGTGACTTAGTGTGTGGAGCTGAGGCCAAAGC